AATATTCGTTGATTGGTTTGTTGGTTGAAATTAGGTGGAGAAAGAGCGTAGGCTGAGCGTATTTGGCCTGTGGTTAGGTTTGCCATAAACTGTGCTAGAAATGCATAGCTTAACAGTCTTGATGCCTGCCTGCCCCACTGCCTGCTTGCCTTGTTTTGAGAAAACATGAGATAGTTGTGTTTTTCGTTTATGAAATATTCATTCATCTTGTCATCCAAGCTTGTATTGTCCACGCATTTATTTATTTCATTTTTATTTATTTGTTTATGCATTTCTTATTTTTTGATAATCGCTTTGTTGATTTCAGATTAGAGTAACCGGTTCAATTTTATTTGATTACATTTCTGTTAATTGAAAATTGATTTGATTCAAATTGACTGATTTTAATTGATTCTCGAATTTTAAGGTCATCTCTTTTTTAATTTAAAAAATAAGTAAATAAACGAGTAAATGGTAGTGCAAGAAGCCGTCTGGTTGGAGTTTTAATAAAAGTGAATTAAATATTGAGTGAATCATTACACTTTCAAGTTGAATGAGAAGAATGTGAATAGATTCTATGGTTCAACAATTTTCGAAATTGTTCTCATCTCGCAAGACCCCCAGAGAAGACTGGTTGAAGGAAGAAGGTTTTTTTGATGTTCTTCGGTAGCTCTTGAATTGTGGAGATTTTTTTTGAGAGAGACTTCTCGTGAGAATGTTGCAAATTGTGTTCAATCTTGATGTTGTCAAATTTTTGTTTGAGTTGATATTCAAAAAAAAACTATCTGACAGTATTTTGTCTGAATCCGCTTGTGAAAGTGCTTGTTTGATCCATATCTATAATCATCACCTCAACACAACAAGTCGCTTCTTTCGTCTGAAATTGATGTGGATTGTTGTTGATTGATTTTTTTTGGGGTTTTTATTGAATATGAAATATTTGTTTGATGAATTTTGATAGAAGAAAGAAAAGCAATAAGAGAACATGGATAATAAATGCACGTATTAATAAATTATGATAAATATTTGTGAAATTATCACTGAACTGTGTTAAGATAAGTATCATATAATGAGTGAACAAGTGGAATTTATATGGTGAATCCACATTCGATGAAAAAGAATGTCTGAAAAACTGAGCATTTGATATGTGAACATCTTGTGCAGTTCGGGGTTGATTGTATGAGTGTGTCTGTGTGTATGTTCGATTCGAGAAGAATCAAATGAAGAAAGGGTTACGTGCTAAGTTTTAATGAGCCACTTCATTGAGCATGTGGTAGCAGATTTCGTCGTGATATTTCTTAAGTGAATAGAAAAGTTTAATTGAACGACGGATGGATTGGCTGGATAGTCGAATAGGTTGGATGATGAATAAGTGGATATCATATCTCACGATCTGTTTTTAGAATTTGAATGGATACACGAGAATATTCATAACTTGCGTATGTATGTGTATGTGCTGAATCGTATTAGCTGTGTAGAGGATGATTGATAAGATCATATCGTTATCATATGGTATCAAATTTATCATATGATATCTTATTCTGTGAGAATTTGAATGGTATCATTGCTGATGCGGTACTTCAATATTCAAAATCTTCTTTTTTCCATCAGCGTTTCCGTCATTCTCACAAAAATTTTTTCTTCTTTTTCAATCTGATCTCGACCATCATCACTGTGTTCGAAGCACCAACAACCAGTTCATGTTGTTGAAATGATTGAGCTCCTGAACTTTCTTTGATGACTTATGTATGAAGAATGATCATTTTGCGTTTTTAGAAGCAAAAACTCTTGAAATCCCGAACTTGCTGTTGCTTTTGATTTGGACATTTTTCCGTTCATTGTCTATTTTTTGTTCACTTGGTTGCATTTAGCAATCAAAAGTGATAGTTTAACAAACAAAAAAGACAAAGCACTATTGTGCACTTCATAATGGCACTGTTAATGGTGGTGATGACGATGATGTGGTACACTTGAAAAGTTGAGTGGATTTTTGCGAGTACTTAAATTTTTTCTTGGAAGTATCACATATTTCATCATTATCATTTAATAGTGTGTACGCATTCTGGCATTATTTAATCGTTGATTCACTTGCTCAGCAGTCAGTGAGTGTATCACTTCGTTATTACCTAGACAGCTCAGCTCTACCCAATTGAAAGTTGCATTAACTTTTGGTGGTGCTCTTTGTTATTATTGGTTTAAGTAATACTGTTATTGTTATTATTATTATCACTGATATAGTCTGAGCAGTTGGTCTGAAGATTTATAGTTTACTGATTTGTTGTCGACAACACCCAACTACTAATTCGAAAATGGTGAGTGAGGGTCTCTTCAAAAAGTCTCCTTGCCTTCCACATACCCACTCGGTCCTTCTCCGGGTGGTATCAGATGAGAACAGATCCGTTCGCTCTCCCATATCCTTTCCTTTCGAACAATAATTTGGAAATTTGATAGTCTCATCCCACTCCATGCTTTATAATTGAGAATGATGGTGGAACGGAAAATTTGTTTGATTGGAATCCGACGAAAGATATTTTCGTGGTTTTGAATTTGGGCCGTTACCGAAAAACCAGAAATTGTCACAACCAAAAAATGTGTCAGAATTTGCAGAATGTGTCAAACTTGGGTCGATTATCTTTATTTATTGCTTGATTATGCCATCAATAAGTACACCCTTAATTAACGTTAGAGTTTATGCCCATAGGATTCCTCTCCCGTGCCGCATCCTCTAAAAACAAAACAAAGTAACAATCCCTGCCTGTGTTGGGGTTTTGAAGTGATACGTAATGCGGTCGATATTTTTTCGAACAATTGCCATTGTAGAGCGGTACGAAATCCGAAATGGACACACCGATCGAAAAATGTCGTCGTGCACTCCAAATCAAAAATCAACTGATTGTGAACTGCTTGTCGGAGCTGTATGCCACATGTCTTCTTCTTGTAAGTTATCATTATTGTTATTATTATTATTGATAAATGTTTACTGATTTCTACGAATAATACTAATATTCATGCATACATATAAGCATATACGGCCGTCATCGACTATCAATTGAAAGCACTGTTTGCTCTGTGTTGAGTGAGCGATTTGTTTCATAATTTCTACTCATTTCGAATTCCATACTTCCATATTAAATAATACTACACGATTGACGATTTTTGATATTATTTTCATTTCAGTCTACTTTCATTTATCACACGTATATAGATGGCCTCTTGAAACTTGAGATGGAACAGTATGGAATATTTTTGTTGAATAGATGAGTTGATATCTAAGCGTTAGGTTAAGACTGCAAGCTTAAGGGTGAACCTAAATGATATTCTAAGGCTAAGTTGAAGGTTGAAGCCTTCTTAACTCAAGCCAGTCCGCTATTTTGAGTACATCATAGACACTTTTCTCGTCACGATCCCACTGTATATAAGGCTCTTTGCAGACGTTAAATGCAATAACTGATATGTTATTGGAATTGATTGTTAAAATAGTGAATTATTTAACCCATTTGCCCATTTGGCTAAGTATCTTCTTGAATACATTATTTTGTTCACCTCTCTCATTTTTGTAATCAGCTATTCTTTAGTTGTTGATCTATTCAGTGACGATATTGATTTTGATGATTGAGTTGTAAACAAATACCACAGATGAATAAGTGGCTTAAGATCATAATGACAATTCGGTAATGTTGCCGTTATGCTCCCAAAACGTTAACAGCCAGCAAAAAGTTTTCCAAGTCCAAGATCTCTCATATGAATGCCACTGTCTGCGTCCATTGATTACATCGCATCTCTGTTTTGTTGTATTTCGTCTCGCCCTCTCTCTCATTCGTGTCGTACTACATTTTCATTTCGCGTCTACTCAGCTGCATTATTTCTCGTGGTGACTGCATTAAGGTGAACGTTATGATATGAATTTTGGTTTATGATTTTGATGGCCCTAAAGAGGACCGTTTGGTTTAAGGTTTGCCGTTCTCACCCCATGTTATATGGGGTACATATCTGCGGTTTGCTTCCACATGTTGTAAAAGCAATGTTCCCATCCAAATTCTCTTTTCCAAACGAATTCTTCCACATAGCTCGCTAATAACCAAGAACGTCGCTAAAAGTGAATCTGCGAAGTTGCTCCATAACGTCCCACGAAAACTGATGTTTCCATAGCTCCCGAGAGTTTTATATAGTAACTTGTGAAAGCATTGGTCACATTTCTGTTACCTAAGGCTCAGATTGTATATTTCAAACCATAAAACCAGACCCCGAGGTCCTCATTCATTTTTTACTATATCCGATTTCTGTAAAACAGATTCCTTCGCTATGACGGATTGCTGTAATCTTCGTGAATCAATTGAACGATGCTTTCTGATTGTGAGCATACATAATCACTAATAATTCTGTTGCATTGTATAGTGTTCATACTATCTCCAATTTGTCGTTCTCTCTGTCTCTCCATCGTCTCCATTCAAAAAACCCTCTCAGCCGTCAGACAGATATGGCGAGCGATACACGCGATGTTCGTAATGGAAAAGTGCTATGAGAGAACCTTCTCTTTCGGACTTTTTGCTCGTTTTGAGAGTTTTGGGAGCATATAGACAACAGTGGCGACAATTGGTAGGAAGAAATAATGATAATGGTGATGGAAGTAATAATACTGATTATAATAATACTATTGTTGTTGATAATGGTGATAGGAATGATAATAACAGTGGTGATCATAATGAAGAATTGCTTCAGTTCATTGGAATCGGCATTGTATGTCAATTCGATTTGACTCATAGAACGTTGAATACGTGGATACAGATTAACATTGGATGGGGTTTCGCGATTACTTTCTGCGTTTATACAATCTCGAAGACAACTGGTATCATTTTTATTTAACATCATCATGTGCAAGACAAAATAACATGTTCCGTTCAGGTGGTCATTTAAATCCAGCCATTTCGTTCATGTTCTGGTCATTCGGTAAAATCCCTGTTATGCACGCTGTCTATTATAGTATTGCACAGACGGTTGGTGCTTTCGTCGGTACAGCGCTTGCCTATTCTCTTTATTATGGTCAGTTGATTATTTGTGACTGTGATTTGCTCATTTTCCAGTATGTTTGTAAGTAATCATGCGAATGAATCGACTGCATTCATAGTTTCTTATATTTCATCGCCAGATAGTTTCTTAGATAATTTAGCTTGACCGAGAGATCAAGTCAATATTTCGACTAAACTAGCTCAAGCTCAGTTTGGGTAAGTTTAAGCCAGGATAAAGCTCAGTTCTTCGAGTCTCAACAGTTCAGTTTAAGCCGTTTTTAGAGGTGTTGTATTTTGACAGACATACAAACTGTACATTTTATTCATATACATAATAGCAAAATAATATATATGCAGTAGTACACGAGCATTCTAAAAATAACAATAATTTTTTGTAGACCAGATCTGGCATGTGCTCGGTGCGGAGCGCATAGCAGTTGGTCCAAACGCTACAGCCGCGCTATTCACATCAATGCCGCCCGAGCATGTATCGAATGTTATTGCGTTCTATGATCAGGTGAGTTTTTAGGTTTGAAGGCAGCTGAATAAAAAAAATTGAAGGAATGAGTGTGATCAATGTTAAAAATTAAGTTTGTTGGAACGGGTTTCTTGGCGTTATTCGTGGCCGTAATCGTTGATAAACGTAACGAAATACCGGTTGGCATTCATCCGTTATTGGTCGGTTTTGTGATCGCCATGATTGGTATGGCTTTCGGTATGAATGTGGGATATCCCATCAACCCGGCGCGTGACTTTGGACCACGTCTCTTTGCTGCACTCATTGGTTACGGATCGGAGATGTTCACGTCAGTATTATTATTATTAAAATAAACACAGTTGTTCTTATCATTAAAAATGTTATAAAAAGTAATTACAATTATTTTGTTTGTGTTTCATTAGTGGTATTTTAAATATTACAGCTATCACAATTATTACTTTTGGATACCGATCGTAGCGCCTTTCTTTGGCGCGTTATTTGCGGCATGGTCGTATTATTTATTCGTTGGTTTTCATATTGTTGAGCGACATTCGACAGCGATTTATTTAAAAGAGATCAAAGACGACAGCGGCGATTCGGTACCACTGCAAAAGAATGCGTAGGTCATCAGTGTTGTTGTTTGTTGGTGATATTGTCATTGTTAACATCAATCATTATGATAAATTTTTTAGGAATTTTAGAGATATGGCCTAAAATACGAGAAGGATTTGAGGGCTATGAAAATAAAGCAAGAGAAACAGAAATTGATGGTGATGATTGGATTTGATTATGCTCATGTATGATGTATGTTTGTATGAATGTGGTTTGATGAAAATATTGAAAAGTTTTATATTTGTATTTCATGCAGTCGTAAACATGCACGATTGCTATTTGAAGTTTTTCGAAAAAAAATTATTTGCCAAATTTTAGCACTACAATATTTTCAAATTACAATGGAAACAGTAACGGATCTTTCTTTAAAACTTTAATTATTCCAAATAAACAGTTCCAATTTCAATTGAACAAATATTAGCGAAATGGCCACAGTTGAACGAACAGCTTCAATCCAATCACATAAATTAATTTGGAGTCCTGTCCGCTGTTCATCACCTATCGTATCGTGTTATTACAGTCAATATTATGGATGTTATTGTTACCGTTAATAATACTACCATTGTTGACAGTACTTTCCACTATTCTCCTTTTTTCAAGCAAGCATTTTGTATTCGCTCTCTTTTCTTCTTTAATTACTTTGCCCTTACCAGCGAAATTAATTTTGTGACAGTGATAATAATAATGTTTTGTCATTTTCTTCTTCTGTCATTGAATTTTTGCTGTCGAACGACAAGTAAATTTTATTAAATGCGATCCAGTCAATAGCTAGTTTTCGGTAACTAAAATTTACGATTTGTGCTGTCTTCTTGTCTTACTTATAATATTATCGATGACGATAATGTTTTATGACGATTAAGATTATGATTGTGATTGTTAATCCAATGTTATTTGTGATATGATATTATCATTATTACTATTGAATATTGGTGTTGTTGATTAATAACATAATCATGAAAATGTTTTATCACCTCGATTTATTCGATTATTAGCGGTTATTATTTTTAGTGCTTTTATTGATATTACAGTTTTTATTATTGAAATTACTACGACATTTATTGTTATTATTATTGTAATTCTAACTGTAATTGTGACAATTTAATTAACTATTTAACTATTTAGTTCTAATCGGGTGATGATTGCACATCGTGGTTTTGGATTTATTAATTATCAATATTGATCTGGCGATCGACACATTTGGCATTCTTTGCACCATTCTTTGTTTGTTTTGTTGAATGGACACAGAAAAATTTAATGTGATTGTAAGGGGGAAGTTAGGCGCTGGATCGTTAGGTAATGGCGACATATACTTTGGTGCTTGTTCGTTTAGGTTTCCGGTGAAGTTATTCAATTAATTATCTGGCATCTTGTTAATTATTAATTATCTGTGAAGTTATTGAATTAATCATCTGCCATCTTGTTAATTATCTGATGGTTGTTATGATTTCAATTCGCTCATTTGTTCAATAATTTCTTCAACTTAATATCACAGATTTTATGCATCGCGTGAATAATTTTGTAATTGATGTTATTATCTTAAACATATGAAAACTATTCAGTGGGTTGGTTACCTTTGATTGTTAAATGATTTGATCATTATCGCAACGAGTTATCAGATGGTAAATGATGTGTTATTATTATTTATGCCCAATAAAATGGTTCGTATCCGGTCGATGAATATTGACATTTTGAAGTTATTGCACATGATCCATCATTGATAGTAATATCCAGAGCAGTGGATCTCACGCTCGGATGATCCATTGCCCCCGTCGATGGTCGGGCAGACTGTCATTACCCTCCTCCCTCCTGATACAAGAACTTATTATTTCAACATATAACGTTAGGAACAAACGGAGAACCGGTCCAGAAATTCCTCAGTGGCGTGAAAGAAGTTAAGAGAAACCATATGAACCTCGGCGATCAAAAACGAAAAAGCAGTGAAAAAAAAAAACATTCTTCAACGATAAAAACTGGAATTTAACAACAAGTTGGATTATTAATGAAGAAAGAAGATTGTGACTACTTCAGACTGAACTTTGTTCAGGCCTAAGCGAGCTAGAGATACTCAGGAAATAGAATAAAGGGGAATGTTTCCATGACCGAGCCGTGTTTAGATATCCGATTGAAAAATACATCAATGCAATGTCGTTTCATCATAACAAAAAAACCACCAAATATTAGTTTGTGTCGATCAATCCCTAGTGTTGATAAGAGACGATTTCAGCCAATGTATTGAAGAACTCACGGAACATTTGTGACTAAACAGACTTTTGTTCAGGCCTGCATGAGTTAATCATATTCAGAAAATAGGAAGAAGAAGAGTGTTGTTATGAACCGCATTTACAGACCTAATAGTAAGTGAAAAAGCACCATCACAGTGACGTTCTATCATAACAACAACTGTACTAATTTCCCGACCCCTCCATTACCTTCGCCCCCCTCCATTACCTTCGCCCTCCTCCGATACCCCCAAATTACTCAAAATGGATCATTTCACCCGCTGTGAGAACCACTGGTCAAAGTGGGACAAGAAGCGTAAGAGCATTAGCTTATCGACTGAAAGGACAGAGACGTAAGGCATTCAGTACTGATTTATTCGACTTTGCAGTTCGTTTCAAAATCAGCACGATCAATTCTATCCAGGAATCATTCGCGAGGTATCAATTTTTATAATCTTCGAAGAAGTGTAACGTTCAAGTTCATTTCCAATAGACCTATTCCTAACAAAAGCATATTGTTGTCGTTGACCACCCATGTTGATTGCCACGCATAGCAATTGAACGAATATGATTGCTTGCGAGTGCTTGTTGTTCTCGAGCCACCTACTGCGACTGGAAGCAAGAGAGATGGGTTGGTGAAGAATAGTTTTTAATTTAGCATTTAAGACATTTGGCAGACTGCCTTCATATGAGGACGCAGTGGTGATGAATGCTTCGACTTTTTATGGAATATAGTAACGTTACTGTCACTTAAATAAGATGATTCGTGCTAATTTCGTTTGTAGAGTGTAGTGCTCAAAATGTGTTGAATGAGTTATATGAGGGGGATTATACTGAGGTAAGACTGCTATTGCTTGTCACCATATATGACGACAGCCGGCATCAATTGGTTGAAAATACACATTTCAAATACTCGCGCTTCTAAAGAACTAAGGCCGAACGTTTATCGACAAGATGATAAGTACTTGGAATGTTTTAGTTTTTGAACAGATTTAGAATGAATGGTACAGGTGTAGCGGTGCACAGAGGTACATGTTGACGTGGTCGGCGTAGATCGAGCTGGATCGTGAGCGCAATGCACACTTTCACGTTCAAGTCTAGCCTTAGGCTGAAATGCATCCTTGTGCACTGCAACACCCGTACGACATTTGCAGGTGGCTGTTCACGACTGCGTATGTTCATAATTGCACAATATGATATTAATCTTATCGCCACAGAAATATATACATCGAATCAAGATACAAACTACATCGTAGATTGCCAAATTTATTTGAAATTAATTGTGTATCAATTTTTGTGTATCAATTTTTTGTGTATCAAATGTGTGTATCAATTTTTCATTGTTGCATTGATTAATTCGAAAGTGAATTGTAGATAGCTTTGTGGAAATATTGAAAAAGTACGCCGAATTGGTTGGCTGAGGGAGGATTTGAGTGATGAATTAATTTATTCACATCATTTCAAGGTAAGTGTAATTTTTAATGAAACGTTTAATTCGTTGATGTTAAATTGTGTGATGTTTCGTTTCTGAATTGTTCGCATTGCAATCGTTTTGTTTATGTGTTTATTGGTTCGTTAATTAACGAATTTATTTATTGATGGTCGATTCATTGATTGATTAATGCTTCTTTGGTGGATTCATGTGCTGCATTCAATTACTGTTCACACGCACAACGTACCACTTTTAAGTCGTCTGTGAATGCTTGTTACGGCATTGTTTGGCCATAATTATGGCGATATTCAATTGATGGATGTTTGCCTTGCTTTCTTGAAAATAACCTCACCTCATCAATCTGTTCGTCTTTTTGTCGAATTATTTCTCGTCCGTGGCGCAGTTGTAGTTCGCGATTCCGATCTGTTTTGTTTGCGCCCTCGTTTCGTCTTATGGTTTCATCGTTAAAATTTAGTTGGTTCAATGCGATTTTATCAGAAGTCAATTCTGTTGTTTGCCATTTTCGAGAGAAATCAATTATGAATCAACGTATGCATTAAGAAAATTGGCGTTATTGTCGTTTTTAGTTGTTGATTCACCAGTGCCCCTAAGCACGATGCTTATCTTCATCAGTTTGCCTGCAGGATATTTGATCTCAATCAATTTTCATGTTTTCTCCTATAATCACTGCTACTACTCTAATCAATATCTACATGTCTCAGCCAAAAATATAAGCAAGGTGATCAATTTTCCGGATCAGCTATTTGTTATTTCGCATCGATTATTCATCTTCTTATCAGTTTTACATATAATTGCATAAATGTTCCACCTTATGGGGTTGATTCTCACCCCGTAGTGATTTGCACCAAAAATTTCACCGGAATAAAGCATTTTCGGTAATGTCCACCTCATATGAGATTTGGAGACGAAATTCTGTATGCAGAGCAGTTCCTATGCGTCATCAGTTCTGGTTTCCTACAAAATTTTTACCGGCAGTATCGACCAGTCTATCAAACGTTTGTGGCGTTCTTTGGCTCAGTGCGCGTCCATTCGGTCCACGATCTCGTTTTTATTTGCCAGGTGTTTTCTAATTATTTTTCTATCTCATCCGTCCATCTCCATAATTTTAAATATCTTCTATATAAATGTGTTTAAGTAATTCGGAAATACGACTAGCAGATGTTTTTTGAGAATAAATTTTTTATAGAAGTTGCGATACTCTACGGAAATGGGGATAACCAAAAATCTTAAAACTTTTAAGTTTATTGATACCAGAAATTGAAAATTCGAAACGATTAACACAACAAAAAGAAATACAAATGAATTATAAATATAAATTAATTATAAATATAAATTAAATATAATAGAATAATCCGCAATGAATTATAAATATAAATTAATACAAATCTGTTAATGTTCACTGTGTGGAATTTGAACCTAAACTCGGGCCTGAAAGCAGTCAATTGTATTTATTCTGCATTGTCTTTTATGCATTATTGTGTGCGTGTTATTATCAGTATCCATCCATCCATCGCGTAATACTTTGTGAACGTTTTCACTTTGTGAATATGGTGCATTTTATGTCATTTCATGATTTTAACGCCATTTCTTAGGTGCTGCGTAACAGATCAAAAGGATTATGTGACATCAATCAGGCACTTTTTGTGAAGTAAAAGTTAAATGATTGGTACCATATTAAGCTGTATGTCGCACTTTGAGTCTTCTCATTCCTTTGAAATATTATTGAATTTGAACGAAAATGATTATGTATTGTTAGCAGTACTATAGTACTTAGGACGCATTTCGGACACAACTTGCTTATTACTTTCACGCATTTTGACTGCGTCTCGCACATTTTTCGCTACGTCACACGAATCCACCAATGCATGGCTATTTTGTGTGTAAACTATTTCGCCAAAATTTTCAGTGCATAATGCAACTAGTGGTGACAACTTTATCAAAATTTTCGAACATTAATAATTAAGATCACTAATTGTGTGCTTGTGCGTATATGAGCTTTGACTCGAGGCTGAAAGTAAATGTGATTCTGAAATCGAGCCAGAAAGCGATTTGAATCTAAACTCGGGCCTGAAAATGAATTCACTTTTGGAGTTGAGCCTGAAAGGAAATTTGAAGCTAAACTCGAGCCTAATAATTCATGGGAATGAGCCAAAAAATTCTTTACGTGCACCATTAGCAAACTTAACAAATTATAAGATATTCTCTCTCGAAGTGATAGTTGATCGTGTTAGATTTTTTTTGTTAGCTCCACTGAAACGCATTACTATTAAACTATGTCGAATTGCACTTCATTCTTCGAAATGAATTCGTTTTCTGTTGCATTGATCGAAGATGAATTTTTAATATTTGGTTATTTGGCTATTTGAATGCAATGAAATGGATTGAATACGCTTACTATTAGATAGGTAGTTGTGTTTAAGTATGCACATTAGCGATAAATATATGCGTTTATGAATTGAGTTGGAAACAGATTTCAGGGCTTTTCTCATCTCGTCTACGATTACCGTTGACTGATTTAGCTCATTGAAGCTCATTTTTTAGCTCTGTTCTCACTCGTTTTTCTATTTTCCATTAGGGAAGATCATGTTTTCCGTACATATTGATAATTAATTTGTTCGTAACGATCACATATACATGCTCTCCATACGTGGTGGTTACACGTGAATATTGCTGCAGTGAGAAGAGAGGACGTATTCTAATCGATTATGAGTGTAAGCATAAAACTGAGTCTAACCACAAGCTCAAGCATAAACCGAACTATAAGTATGACTCTGAAATCGAACCTAGTGGATAAAGTTAAAAGAGACTCGTACGGAGTTGACAAATTGTCTAATCTTTTCATAAGGATCTGTAATATTTGATTGGTTCGAGGGGATATTTTCAAAACTATGCATTTTTCGAATAGTGCACTTGCCTAATCCTAAGACTAGGCATAAGTTTAGCATCGTAAGCTCCCTCTTCGTGCTTTTGTCCACCACCGGCTCTTCCTAACAATAAGCAGCTTCAAAATGCAGAAATTGTAGCATAATATTGAAACCATTTGATAAGATTTATGATTTAAAATGTTTTATTGGAGTGTTCAGATGAATAATTTGGTTGTAAATTTAAGCACGTAGTAATGATATAAATAGCATTAGGAATTATTAAATGGAAATAACAATAACGATAATATTGAGTTTGATATTAATAATTTAGACAAATAAAGATATAAATATAAACGGATGGATGGGTGATGCGCAGATAAGAGAACGAGGGTGGTGCTAGTGAAGAAAACAATGAATGAACTGGGAGAAATTGAAATGAAATTGAATGGGTGTAAGGGTTGTTGGTTATTTGAAGGGTCGTTATTACTATTATTACTACTTGCGGGTTTATTTTGTTTTTCTGATACAACGGGCGTTTTGATAGAATGTTCCTTATTTTGACAACACTTGTTGTATTCTGAAGCTGTCTTCTTATTGTTTTTGAGGTATTTTTGTTAGCTTTGATTCGAATTTGGATATATTATTAACGTTGCATTATGCAAAACATTTATTATCATGAACAATATATTTAGTCATTCATCATGGTGTTATTGCTTTGTCTTATTTTCTAAAGCTGAGACTTCTTGAAGAAATACGCATGAATTGTTTTCAGTCTAAATTTGAGTTCGTCTCATTCATTATTCTTAATCCATCCATCTTTTAAACGTCGTATTTGATAGGATATTAAGTAAGTATATATAAGTATCTATTATTGTCTATGCTTAATATATGTTTATTTATTTATGTACATTTGTATTGTTATTAAATACATATATTTATTATTATTTAACGAATGTGAAATAGTTCTGAAAATGTTTGTGCATTGTGTAAAAGTGAATTAATTTGGTTGTGCACATAGATAATCTAGCCCCTAAATTGGCTCTCCTCGAGGAAAAATTGCGAGTTATTTATTTTTCATTTTCTATATATATATATATATA